CCAAATTTGATAACATTATTCTCCAGTATCATCATCATCATCATCATCAAAGAGAAGCGTTCGTTCATTCCACGAAGATGGTATGATGGGAAATATACATTTTAGAGTGGGCGGAATGGAAGCCTAAATAGAGCTCCCGAATTTCAACTCTCTGACTCTCACGTTTCATCTCCCCATTCACAAACCGGGCCCTCCCTTTTGTTATCCCATTGCTCGCATTGTAACTATGAATTGCTCCAGAGTAATGAGAACTATATGACCGTCTTTAAACAGGAACTAAGTACCTGAGAAATGGTAAAAAGAGCCAAGATTATTAAACTTAATGAGTAGATAATAGCTTAAATGTGGAATAAAGTGGGAGTAATCATTAAACAAAGCTAATTTAACTATTATTTGTTTATAATAGGTAAATATTGTTGTCCAAAGTAATTGGACTTCGATTTCAGTAGACATACTTCCAAATTGTAACTCCTTCTCATCTAATACAAAGTTTTTGGCCTTCCAAGCCGTTTTTTGCTCAAAATACTTAGCGGATAAATGAAAGCAAAAAACGGCTTGGAAGGCCAAAAACTTTGTATTAGATGAGTTGTAACATACTAAATAACATTAATAATGGATTCCATAAAAATCGATAATGTTAGAATAGATGCCTAAAATGACCAACACTGCCAAACATCCATTTTTGAGCTTATGATGCCGTTTGCATTGAAAAACTTTATCAGAACAAGTATCATACGAACCGTATATTGGAATTTGTTGGAAGGATTTAGTGCCGTCTTTTAATTATTTATTGCTGAAAAAAATTTGTTTATGTGCCGAACCTTTTTGCGAAAAAATGTAATTTGTCAAACGTTGGGGTGTGCGATAGACTTGCCTCCACGTTGTGCCCACTGGGCAACGTATACTCATACGGCAAAAAAAGTCTATTAACCGACAGTTATGTTCTCATTTCAAACTACCATGACCCCACTGTGTCATATTCGACTACTTTACAGTACTCATCTTACCTTTTCTCTGCTTTTGTGCCTGTCTTTCTCTTTTACATTCGTGAATCATTATTCTGTCCCGCCTCTCGAATTTTTTTCACTTTGATGTTCCTCCTCCTCTCCGTGCAGCCCGAAGTCAGCTAAAGGGCTAATGATAACTATCGTCTACGAAGCCCGAAGTCAGCTAAAGGGCTAATGATAACTATCAATGAAGTCAGCTAAAGGGCTAATGATAACTATCAAAACGCCGGCCATTTGAAATAAATAAATAAATATTGAAACTTCATTATGAACCATTTGAAATAAATAAATATATATATATATATTTTGAAATAAATAAATGTTATGGCATTGAGTGACTCAGCTAAATGGCTAATGATATCTATCAAAACGCCTGCCACCAACTAAAGGGCTAATGATAGCTATCAAAACGCCTGCCATACCGAAGTCAGCTAAAGGGCTAATGATAACTATCAAAACGCCTGCCATTTGTAATAAATGAATAAATAAATTTGTCAAACGCTCCAGCAGGTGCGTTTGGTGGCATAACTGTCTTTTTCTACATTAAATTAGTATTCGAAGGCATATCAGACGAAATACCATCCGATTCGTCGTCCTACTTCCCATCTAGTCACTTGGAACCTGAAAGATCCCCAACTTCAATTGGATTTGGAGTTATCTTTCTCCAATGCTAGACATCAGACATAGCATAGCTTTGGCTTGGTACCTCAACTTGAAATTCATTCGAAATGAAATGTCGGCGATAGACAGCAAAGTAAATAATCGGAAAGAGGATAAAAGTGTCCTTATGAGATGCCTGGTTGCTCAGCTTAGAATCAATCACAAAAGCAACGAACATCGTTCATTTTCTTTCGACTTAGGGAGTGAAGTGGAGGTTTTCAAAACTACTATTTTGGCATATTCTTATCACTGCCTTTGCCTTATAATGGCGAAATGTACCCGTAAAATTCTAGAAGTTTACTAATTTTATTTATATAAGATTAAATATAGCAGATACGGGGTTCGAAGCCAATCGGCACAAACTCAGAATGATCAGCCTCACTGTCCAAAATTGAGTTGTATTTACCTCTGATATTACTCTTATTGCCAAGGTTATTTCCTGGAGGTTTCATTTTTATTCAACATTAGGAACTTAGCTAACACCAGCTAGCCTCGTAATTCATCAATTAGTACATTGGAAATAAAGAGCAGTTTAAATTATCGGTAGAGTATAATGGAACTCGTGATTGGCTAGCAGAAATCGGGTTACTGGCGTGCTTTTTAATTCAGCCATTCACATTTCAGGCGCACACTTTAAATTGGAATATCGATTATTGACAAAATGGGGAGGGGGAGGAAGAATAGCAGAGCAATAGTAGGGATGGGCGCTAAAATTTATTGTCATACTGAAAACTTGTCCAGATCGTTAATTGCTATCAGGCATGTTGAAATCGATCCGGATCATAACGATGGTACGGTACCGTCCCCTGGTTGTCTAGACTGGTTGATCGATTATAGTTTGAAGCTGTCAAACTGTCACCTGTCTCTTTCCCCCGCCCCTTCCCTTCCCTTCGCCTCCAACCGCTGTAATTTGGTTGTCATTAATTAAAATTGAACTAATTTTGGAAAGTTCAACCGCCGCGTATGCTATTAATCAATTTATTTTAACACGTTTATTTTGAAACCTGAGGAATTTCATTAAAATCAATTAGTGTGGGTGGTGGTGGTGGTTTATAGTACTAAGCCTATTCTATCTTGATTTTTAGAGCAAATGACCCGATAAATGTATGAACAAGGTGCTGTTTCAAGTTGAGTGACTTTTACTAAAAGCCCACTTGCTAGGGTACTCCCACATCGAAAAATTTCTGTTAAATGAATTTAAAAGAAAATATTTGAATTTAATCAGGAGTTAATCAGGTAAAAAAATGATTTTTTTAAATCTATTTTATAACCACTAGAAATCTTCTTGGCTTAATTAGCCGAATCGTTTTCGAATCATTTTAAAAGAATTATTTACCTAACTTCAAATTAACATTGCCATATTGTTGTTACAAATAGTCTATCGATTTCAACTGGTGGTCAGATTGAATATATTATTAAATTATCCGGCTTTAATTAAACTAAAATTCACTCTCCCATTTCTTTGTAATTAATTCAAAGAATAAAAAAAGGCAATTTTAATTCACACTTATGTTCCAGTTGGGTAATTGTGGTTCGTAAACGAGGTTTTGAGAATTCGATTTTCAAGAGTAAGAGATTTGAAGTTGAGGGACGGATTTCCCGTAGCGTAAATCCGTGACTATTCTCCTCTCTCGAAACAACGTCATCATAAGTTCACCACCCTCACCACCACCACCACCACCACCTCGACTGACAAGTTATCATCACGCAGTGGACCGAACTGCCTGATAAATCTCTCCTTCCTCCACCCCCTCAACTGCGTCGCCTCTGTGCAGCGTAGTCATTTCCGTTAGCAACTGTATCCGTTCCATGTATTGATACTATAGCTGCTTCTGGAACTCCAAGGTACAACATCTCACCCCCCCCCCTCTCCTGAAGGTGGGTGAGCAGTTGTACTCACGATATCCGGTTAGTTCCCCCCCCCCTCTCAAACTCGAGAAGAGAAGCGAATGAGAAGGAGTGGATGGGTAGATATAGGCAGGTACAGGCGTAGATATGGTAGGGAAATCGACTTCCGGGAACGCCCGCTTTCAGATGTGTATGCAGCGGAAAGGGAGGGTGGAGAGGGGGGGGAGAGAATGAGGTGCAGAGAGAGCATGTTTGGGTGCATGCTCGCCTCTCCTCCGAACTGTAACTTTTTTACTGAGCAGTGAGTGAGTGAGTGAGTACTGCTCTGCAGGCAGGATGTGACCACAAACAGTACATTATGCGCGTACGTGCGTTATCCTACAACCAGAGCTCACCTGCCCATGAGATAAGGGGCGTGTATGTATGGGTGATAGATGCAGGAGGAGGGGGAGGGGGTGGGGTGGGACTTAAACAACCCAATGGCTACTTCAACCCCCCCCCTCCCCCTCCCCAGTGCAGGGTGGCCGGAAGTTTGTCGCGAGTGGAGTATAGGGGAAATATGATAGGTAACTTGCCAACCCCTACCACCACCCCCCCCCCCAACACGAGCGATTTTACACGCCTGCTGCTGCTGCTACTGGCAAACAGGAAAGAATTAGACAGGAGTTAGGGAGCGAGACCATTCGATTTTGCCCAAATGGAGAATGCGGAAATGGTATAAGAGCAGACCTCAAGTCCTACACGCCACAGCTCTTAATGTGAGGTCCGGCCTTTCTGCTACTAATGGGCCCGACGAAATTCATCGGACTTCCTTCCGCTTTGCTGAAAATTGTAACTTTCCAATTCCATGTCCTCCGCGCGAAGGAAAAGAGAATTTAAGACTCTCGGCGAACACTACCTTTTTGAGTCACCTGGCTTTTTAAATTCCTAACTTGTGATATCCCGTTTCGAAGTGTAATAATGTATTGAAGCAGTAACCAGTTTGTCTAGTAGTAAATTTCACTGTGTAAATGCATAACATTTTGGAAACTGGAAGACATTCATTTATATCAAATGGCGGGCTTTATGATAGTTATCATTTGTTTTTTAGTTGACTTCTGGTTTCACTGAGGGGAGGAGGAACATCAAAGTCCCACATAAAGTCGGGAGAGGGAACAGAAGAGTGATTCAGAGATGTAAAAGAGGCAAACATAAAGGTAGATAAAAAGGTAAGATGAGCACTGGGGAAGTGGTCGAACATGCATTACAGTGGGGTCATGGTAGTTTGAAGTCAGAAGTGAACTGGCAGTTAATAGACTTTTTTGCCGTATGAGTATACATTGCCCAGGGTGCACCACGTGGAGGTAAGTCTATCGCGCACCCCCATCTGAAAGCCATTGTTTCCTGTAAATACCGTCTATTTGCTTGAGCTCTTGGTGGACAGGTGGTTTCTGCTTCTTGGCTTATTTTAGATTCCTAAATTGTGCAATCTCTCTGCCCGCCTTCGTCGCCTTCACTCGCCAAGGGAAGCTGAAGTTATTTTCGTCGCCTTGTACTCTACTTCTGCCTTTAGAGTTGATTTGCGCGTGGGTTATTTTTAGCAGCAGTCTTATAAAAGTTCCCCATTTATATATATAAGAGAGGAAGCGTGTGTAAGCCTTTTAAACTGGGAAATGCCCACTTATCACCCTCCTGGCCGCAGTTATTAGCCATTGGAAATTTGTGTTGATGAGTAAATTATCCTTATTACCATATCTGAATTTAACGCCATGCCCTAGGGGCACAGTACCCATCTGAACTATTTTCTCAAGTTGGAAAGGGAAGTACAATAGGTGTCAATTAATTCCCATCAGTACTTTGAGCAATGGTATGTAGGTACCAAGTCACTTGCCAATATTTATTTATTTATTTCAAATGGCAGGCGTTTTGATAGATATCATTAGCCATTAAGCAGACTTCGGTCTTCACAGAGGGAAGGTCCATCAAAGTAGCAGAAAGTCGAGGGGTGGGAAACAGAAGAGCGATTCACAGATGTAAAAGAGGCAGACAGACACAAAGGTAGAGAAAAAGGAAGGGTGAGTACTATGAAAGGGGTCGAAAATGACAACCAGGGGGGTCGTGGTAGTTGGAAGTCAGAATTCAAATGCCGGTTAATAGACTTTTTGCCGTATGAGTATACGTTGCCCAGGGTGCACCACGTGGAGGTAAGTCTATCGCACACCCCATTTGCTAATATTAAGTACTTACATACAAGTATATCGTCAGTCGGATATTCTTGAAACTCCATGTTTGAAGTTCGATGCACTCATGTTGAAGGAGATGAAATGCATAATCAAAAATTGCACATTCAAAAACTTTTGATAAGGTGGATGCAAGCACTGATTTAAAGTCGATTCCTACCTCATGTGGAACGATTTTGGCAGCATTAAGAGAGTTACAATTAGAGCCTGTGTGTTGGTAGTAATTATAATAATTATTTCGGAGTTTAATTTGGGACAACTGCTGCAGATAATTGCAAATAAGCAGGCGATCTATCCAACCCGGTAATTTTAGTGCACCCTGATGGAAGTTGAGCTGGAGATTTTCTATAAATATCCTTCCTATGCATAGTGTTGACTGAGGCAGAACCAATCTCTCAATGGAAATTTGAGCGTCCAATCGGAGAAAACCCTGAACGGTAGATATCTTGAAACTTCTGGTTGAGGAATTATTTGTCTTTAACTAACTTTTACTATTGTTTAGCATCACTACCGACCACCATTGAATGAGTTATTTATTCATTTCAAATGGCAGGCGTTTTAATAGTTGTCATTAGCCCTTCAGTTGGCTCCGGGCTTCACGGAGAGGAGGAGGAACATCAAAGTGACAAAAAGTCGACAGGGGGGACAGAATAATGATTCACAGATGTAAAAGAGACAGATAGACACAAAGGTAGAGAAAAGGTAAGATGAGTATCGTGAAAGCGGTGGAATATGACATGAAGTGGGGTCATGGTTGTTTGAAGTCAGAAGTCAACTGCTGATTAATGGATTTTTTTCCTTATGAGTTTATGTTGCCCAGGATGCCCCGCGCGGAGGTAAGTCTAACGCACACCCCCACCATCGAAGGACAATAACCAATGGGGGGTGCAGACTTTGTAAAAGAATGTTCCAGAAGGGTCGAAGTAGAGGAGTTATAAGGAACATTGCCTATGATTGGGTTCTATTTCCATAATGTAATTAACTTTATTATTGAAAAAAGACAAGGCACAATTTAAACAAAAAGACTTATGACATGCCATTATCATTAGAGCGTAAAATGACCCAAGTTATATTTTTTCGCTTCAAGGTACGTCTCACGTGCCTTATCTGAGCATTTCAAGGTCTTTGCTTCACCGCTGTACAAGAACTGGAAAAAGGAGTATACAATGGTCATTTGGTCCATTTTGTCTTGGAGTTTTAAAGCACTAACTTAGGTATTGATAATTATCTCCATACTGTTATCGTTGTTATGATTACTTTATTTATATCAAATGGCAGGCTATATGGTGGTTATCAATTGCCCTTTAGTTGACTTCTGGCTTCACAGAGGGGAGGAGGAGGAACATCAAAGTCACAAAAAGTGGAGGGGGGAGGGACAGAAGAGTAGTTCACAGATGCCAAAGAGAGACGGACACAAAGGTAGAGAAAAAGGAACTGTGGAGGTGGTTGTATATGACATACAGTCGGGTCATAGTAGTTTTATATCAGAAATCAACTGCAGGTTTATAGACTTTCTTTTACATATTAGTATACGTGGCCCAGAGTGTACCACGTGGAGGTAAGCCTACCACGAACCCCTTCTATTATTATTAATTATGATGAAAGTAAAAGATCAATAACTATTCAGGATTTTTCACGATTTTAAATCAATAAAAATGAACCATATTAGATGTATTTAAGAGTGAAAGTAAATTAAGAAAATATTGCAAAAAAGTTAAATACATTCATATTATTTTATTACGAATTTTTTGCAATTAACCTTCATTTCGTATTAGTACTGATTAATATGTTCAATATTAATTCAAACAATAAGCACAGTTAAGGCAATACTTTTTGTTGATTAACATTTTCACATACTTTCGAAATCACGGAATTGAATATTTAATGAGCCATGGGTCAAATCAGCGGCTATGCTTCAACTCCTTCACTTTTTAATTGAACCAACTTAATAAATTATTCATCGGAGGAGGGGGGGGGGGGGGGGGGGGGGGGGGAGACTGTCCGTGTCTCGCAGTCGCCCNGGGACATGGTCACTTACACTCCTTGACCCCACTTGTTCATCAACTGACCTCAGGCCATTTGAATCATGGTGATGCATCCCAATTGCTGTTAAAGCAATGATAACTGCTAATGCCAAACACTTATTAGTCACAAATTAGGTTATCAAGCACCAAGAAAGGTCACCACTTCTAATAAAGAGTTGTTAAATTTGCTTGTTTTGGGCCAATAAGAGCTTGGATTGATTTATCTATTAGAAAAGTGCTAAAAAAGAGGTTTTGAAGGGGGTTTCGAAGACACCATATATATATATATATATATATATGGGGTTGGCAACTAAG